TGTCTTTTTAGCTCTGTTTTGGTCTCGACTAACTTTTCCGAAAATATCCAGGTCTTTAGTTAAATGCTACACTGCGCTCTCTAGCTGCTCGCCAACTCTGTCTGCCGTTTGGTGCCAGGCAGGTGGCGTATAGTGGGCATTCTTTGCATTTGAAGTGTCTTTGATCATCTGCAGCTGAACCTGTGCAAATAGCAATAAGGTAGCAAGACACCCTTCATGTCATTGTCAAATTCATTCATATAAGGCCTACAGTATGTATTCATTAATACAATCATTTACATTACATTTATTGTTTAAGGTTTTCTAACGGTCAGATATTTACCTCGGAGAAGCTGCTGCTTGTGGTTGAGGCAGTCTCTCTCGATAGTGGCGAGCTCGTGTTTGTGTTGCTGGATAATCTTCTTCAGATCGCTGTCTAGATCCTGCTGCTGCTTCTGCAGAAACTCTTGTTCCTGGTTGGAAGGAAAACAGAAAGAGATTATAAATGACATGAGGAAAACCAGGTCCAGGTGTTAAACTGCAGCACACAAAGAATGAAAGAAAGGCGCAATCAAAAGAATCACAGAACCTCTGACCTTTTTCACACCAGCTATGTCTGACATGAAATAGTAGGGTAAACACACGTGTTACTAATGACACTAATTAAGGTTCTGTTCCATTTAGTGTAGCAGAGCCTTTCCAGTGAGCCAAAATATACAACATCACCCTGACTCTGTTTAATCCTAATTAGTATCATTGTAACACCTGTATTTGCCCTACTATTTCATGACAAAATGGCTGCTGAGAAAAATTCAATTAAAGAAAACTCTGAGGTGATGCTTTCTGTCTGTCTCTGTAGAAGTGCCTCACTAACTAGGCTAACAGAAACCTTTATCAATACATTGAGCAGGATGGGTGTTACGAGGCCAGCCGAGTGTGTGTGAGCGTTTGAGTGTGTTTCCTGACCTACAGGCTTTGTGCAAAGTTCACTTCAGGCTAAGCACGGCTTGGGCTGATGAACCAGACAGTCACAACTGGCACTAAAGACTGTTTCACCTGCTTGTCATTGTCATTAATCCGACCTACCTGGCTCACCTAGCACACAGGAAATTTACATTTTACACACTCTTGTAGTGCTCAGTGATGGACAGTGAACATGTTCAAGCTTTCTAATATTACATGTCTCTGAATGTCTACTAATTCCCCTAAAGATTTAGATCAAAACTGAACAATAAGAACAACTTATAAAACCTTTTCAATGCCAAGTAGTGAACCTGAAGTACTGTCCACTTCCTAGTACTGTTGTAGAGGCCCTTTTGCATGTGCTGATGTATCGAAAAGAGCGTAGTCTCAAGAGTAATGAGTCATGCTTGAAGAAACACAAGAAAGAGGCCAGACTGAGGGGTTTCACTTACATCCTGTATGGGACCGTTGCACAGGGTGCACGAGGACAACTGAAAGGACTGAATCATAACATGGGCCACTCCCTGTGGATCACAGTAGATTACCCTCCTACACATTGCACTAAACACTGCACACACACACACACACACACTGTAAACCTGTGATGGGCACTGCAAACTCAGGTAGGTGGAGAATTTGGAAAAGAGAAGTTATAAAAGCGGTATCGAACAGCACAATAAATAATATGTTGGATATTTGTGCACGCCACCCTCACACAGTCTGAAGTCTGTTCCAATAAAAGACACATGATGAGAGCTAAGAGGAACAGGTAATGTGTGTCAAAGTTCAGATTTCACAGCAAACCAAGCCCTCATTACCTCCTCTGGCGGGGCTTGGAGAATATCCTCTTTAATACGTTTCATGATAGTGTGTGTCACGTGCTTTGGAGAAAGTCCCACCTCCTGATTGCCCTGTGTCAGGGCAGCCATGAGCAATAGATGGAAATAAAATGAGACACCAGCTCTGGATAGATTAGTACTATGTGAGAAAATAAATGAGAAGTGGCAGCGCAGACCGATTTAGCCTGTTACAGCTAAACAGTGGTTATATAAACGCTTATTAGACAGATCAGACTTGTGTGTGTGTGTGTTTCTAAGTATCAAAACAACCTACTATAAATAGCGACTTTATAAGCTATCCCACCCTCTTAAGGGAATACATGTGGCCAAGGGAAATGAGAAGTGATGTGGTCCACATGCTCACCTCTTTCTTGCGGTTTTTCAGCATGTTCTGGTACTTGGAGAGTTCTTTGTCCTGCTCGGCTTTGATGCGTTTGGCCTCGTCCCGGAGCCGGTTGGTGTGCTCTTGCTCCAGCCTCTCGATGGTCTGCTTCTGCTGCCGCTCCAGGTTCTCCACCTCCTGGTCGTACTGACGCTTCTTACTCTGTAGGACACATTAGTGAAATGAATTGTTGTGAAAAAAGAAGCAATTCTGTTTGTAAAATCTTGGAGGAATTCTTAAGAAGCTGCCAATGTGAAAGATGTTTTGTAGATGCCAAATATCCAAAGCCTAAGCATGAATCATTGTTCGAACATTTAGAGATTCTTGACGTGAAGGAGGAAATATGTGCAACTTTTCCAGAAGCCTGAAAGATAAAACCAAAAATACACAACTTCCTCATAACACAATCAATATTTAAGAAGCAGACAACATGGGATTCATACAAAATTGAAAGCCCATTAGCTGTATGCATCACTTTTCAAAGGAATGAGGCAGCCAGCAGAGTTTAAAAAAAGGCCTAATAGGCACTTCACAAATTGCTGATCAAAACAAGCACAATAATAAACACTGCAAATTATTTAATGTAATGCAATGTATGGAAAACAGTAACATGAGCCAGACCACATCAGTTCAGATGAACTAACAGGGATAAACAGAAACAGACAGCCACAGCAATAACAACTGTATGCCTCCACACAGTAACATGACAAGTTTGGTAAATGGTAAATGGACCTGTACTTGTATAGCGCCTTTCTAGTCTTCCGACCACTCAAAACGCTTTTACACTACGTGCCCACATTCACCCTTTCATACACATTCACACACCGATACACGGAGCAATTCGGGGTTCAGTATCTTGCTCAAGGATTACTTCGACATGTGGCGGGAGGAGCTGGGGATCAAACCAACAACCTTCCGATTAGTGGACCACCCGCTCTGCCTCTGAGCCACAGCCGTGAAGTTTGCCATTCACAAACCTCCTGCAGCTAAGGCTAACTCACAAAGACTTTGTAAGAAGAATCTGTAAGAGCCACAAAATGTGGATGTCCGTGCATCGGAAGAAAGTAACACTCAGATGAGTCATCATCTTTAACACCTTTTCCTACATCTGGACGGGTTTACATTTGTAGACGGCCAAACATGTACATGGGAGGTTTTGGAATGCAGTGCACTTACTGACAAGCAAGCAACTCAGCGAGGTGCTCTGACAGCTGCTCTGTATTTGTTCAAACGGTCTATTTTGTGACTGTTTCGTTAACCCTTTTAAAGTGTGATTAAAAGAAAAAAAATCACAGTTATGTTTTTCTTCTTGAAGTTCAATTGAGGTCATTAGCCAGTTCTGGAGGCTTCAAGTGAGTCTTCATTTTAAAGCAAGTAGATGTCAGTTGTCAGGCTAAAACAACATGCTTTCATGCATACCAGTCCATACAGGTGCAAGGCAGTCAGAAATAGCATCGACAGCCTGTAAATCACAGATTATAAGGCATAATTAGCACTCAACCGCGACACTTGTGACTTGAGTGACTCACTGTAGTCTCCTGCTCAAAGCGCCGGTAGATCTGTTCTTTTTGCTGTTGCAGCTTGTTGCTGAGCTGCTGTTGGGACCTCTGCTCCTCCTTCTGCAGGAGACGCAGCTCCCTCAGCTCCTGGCGTCTGCAGAGGTGGAGGTAGGTGGTGGGAGAGAACCAAAGAAAAATTATGTTAATTTTTTTTTTTTTAAGTTCAAAGCAGGTGACAGTGGCGAACACACGAACTGAAATGGTGATGTAAAGATTTATTAAGATAGATTAACTCCACACAGTCAGTACACTAAGGTTCTCGGGTAATGTATTTACATAATATTTGCATAAAACTGACACCCAGGGCGTATGCAAATGAAGGCAGGTGAATACCTCAGGAATCTCATCTCCTCGTTCTTGGTATCATTGTCAGTGATGATCTTTGATGTAGTCACACTAACTTCCACTCCATCCACAATGAATTTGCGAGTCTTTTTCAGCGTCTTCTTCTGGCGTCTGGTGTCCTGGGAAAACGTTAAAAGTGAATAAATGTATCTGTTGCAATGCAAGCCTGTAATACAGTTTCTGATATCTGAAACTGTGGACTATGGGAGTTACCTGTATGGAAACAGATCCTCGCTCTTTTGTTTTAGACAGGAAGCTCGAGATGGACAGATTCAGGTCTACACTGCTGTTATCTGCGGCTGAGCCAGTCCCTGAGTCTGAGTCTCTCTCTTTGTCATCCTTAGCTTTGTCTGGAACTGACTTCTCATCGTCTGCATTGTTTTTATCCTTTTCTGTGGGTTTCTCTTCATTCTCCTCTTTTGGAACAACTTTATCTTGCTCTGGTAGTGTCAGTATCACCTTTAGATGTTTGTATTGGTCCTCCTCTTCTGCTGGTGTGTTTGATTCCTCCACAACGGCCATCTTTTCTTCCTGAGGAGCCTCAGTGACTGGACTCTCTGTGCTTGCCTGTGTGTTGGCTGGAACCTCGGCTGTGTCCACTTCCTTTTCATCGTCAACGGCAATCTCCAGCTGCTGCATTTCCTTAGCAGGCGGTTCTGGTTTGGCCTCTGGTTGTGGTTGTGGTTGTGGTTCTGGTTCAGCCTCCGGTTCTGGGGAGGCAACATCTACTGCTGCTTCTGGAAGCTTTTCCTCCACTGGTTTCTGTTCTACCTCTCCATCCTCAACTGGAGTGTTCGAAATCTCCTCTGGGCGCTCCTCAGCTGCAGGGGCAGTGGCCTCCTCCACAGAGCTAGTGTCCAGCACATGGTTGGCCACAGGGAGCTCAGTGGGTGTTGGCACAGGCAGAATTGGCTCAACCTTCTCAGGGACTGATTCCAAGATGGAGGGAGAGAGGGGGATCTTCTCATCCTCTGAGCTGGCAACGCTGACATCAGAGGCGGCACGTTTGTGGCCCTAAAGAAGAGGTCGGAGTAAGAGAAGTTAGGAATGGTCTCCAAAAGCCAGAACAAAACAGGGGTAATGTAATGACCAACGACCATGAGCCCACAATAAACAGAGCAATCATTGTGAGGTCATTTTACAATGCTGATTCGCTTTTCCTTGCTTTCAATGCGGAAATCTTTGCATTTTGGGTCATTTCAATGCACACACACAAGAAAATCAGCCGACTAATCAATAATAAATAATTAATTTGTTAGCTGCAGCCCTAATCACTATATATAAAATACTAAAATGTTTATATTGCTGGATCCGGAAGGCAGTATGGCTGTATCTTACCTTTTTACAGCAGTGATTAATCTGCTGATTATTTTCTTTCTCTTTTTAGATTTTTTTTTCTTTAATGTCTGATTAAAAAATCTGATTACTTTTATGCCAATTGAGTAATTGACTTGTCATTTCAGCTCTAGAATATAATCATACATATGAAGAATACGCCATTTGTGGCAGATAGCGGATCATTCAGCCCTGCTTAATGAAAACAAAACAATAACAAATAAAAATACCCAACTGTGAGCCTCCATAGTGCAAACTCTAGCAAACCCTTGGCAAAGTGATTTTTGTAAATGGGTACACACCAGATGTGCTTCTGTCTCTTCCTCCTCTTCCTCCTCTTTGTGCTCCTCGATCTCCTCGGTGACCTCAGCCTTTGCCTCAGCTATGAGCTCCCTCAGAGGCTTGTTGTCTAGCACACTGGACGCAAATGAATGCTGTGCAAAAGACAAATAAAAATAATGTCATTAGAAATAAAGAAATAATTAGGTGGTAAACTCAACATTTACCCGCTGCAATAAAAGCACCTCAACATAGTTGGCAGCAAAGACTCGTTACCCCACCAACAACTAATCCCACAGATTTTGAGATCGGTCAAGTACATCCATCAAACACATTAAAAGAATGCTGAGAAAATACTTCCAGACTTTCTTTCCTGCACCTTCTATTACTCTCTGGAATTTTCACCCGTCTGTCTGTGTACTTCACAATAAACAAATAAATCGATCAGTAAACTTCTTTAATGCCAACCAAGGTAAGACTACACACTGCATCTACATCCCTTTACAGCCTCACCTTCTTTGGGTTCGAAATCTGCTGCACATATTGTATCGCTGGCCCAAGAATATGCAGCTTCTTCGATATCAAAACCTTCACTGGTGGCAGACCGCTGTTTTGTATTTTCAAGCCCATTGAGTCTTCCTCGGGGCAGAACAAAGCTTTAGCTGCAGTATTTCCTGTGTGTGTGAATTAATGTGTCCTTACTGCCCGTCTGTAAGTAAGTGGCTCTGACTCGGAGAGCACCTTAAACCCTATGGAAAAAGAAAAGCCTGTACTGCTGACGTCAGCTCAAGCACTAAGGGATAAGTGTCAGTCTTGCCAGGACACATGGTTCAGTACTTGACACAGACCTGACACTAGGCAGCTAGACAGATGTCGTCTAGGACTCTGCTGCTTATGCTCTGAATGGCAGGTGGTTCATGGGTATGGGATGGGGAATGGGGATTATCACTCCATTTAAGTGGCCAGGTATGAGACTTGGGGAACTGATAGTTGGTGAAATAGAGATTCAGAACTTTTGTTGTGTGAAGGTTCCAAGAGAAAGATACCTGTAGCAGTTGTGCAGCAGTCCATCTGTTGTCCACATGCTTGTCCAGGCACCGCTTTAAGAAATCACTAAATTCTGGGGACCTGCAGGGTGGAAGTGATAAAAAAGGACTTGAGTGTGTCCATTGTCATTTAAACCAGTGACCTCAAGGATGCTTCTCCCTCATTCATTATTATATATTGTTTTATATGTCTTTTCTCATTGTTCGTCTAGCATTTGTATTGCCATGTAGAACACTTTGTAACTCTGTTTTGAAAAGTGCTACCCAAATCAAGTTTATTCTAATCATTATACCGACAGGACGATAGAGCTTTTCGCTGTGACTCACCAGCGTGACGGCTGCATTAGGGTAGGAGGATCCGACTTGGCTATTTTCAGCAGGACTCTCATGGGGTTCATCTCGTGATTGGGCGGCTCAATCTGTGCCAGCTCAATCAAGGTGACCCCGAGGGACCAGATATCAGCCTTGTAGTCGTATGGACGGTCCTTGGACGTCTCGCACATCACCACTTCTGGAGCCATCCTGGGAAGAAAGAAGTGAGGAAGTTATTGAAAGGAGATGTGAGGTCCATGTATGTTAACTGTAATTTGTGCAAGAAAGGCAAAAAGGATGGTCAGTTTGTTTTGGATTCCACTCACCAGTAGGGAGTTCCGATGAAAGAGTCTCTCCTCTGCAGCGTTTTGGTGTTTTTGGCAGACACACCAAAGTCAGCTGGAAGACATGTGATTCAGGCAAACCAGAAATTAGCCAGAGGAACACCACCGTCATCATTTATTTTCCAAAAGGAAAACAGACAAACCAAACAAGTACAAAATGAACTACTGTACACGCTTGAGCGGTACAACTGCCAATCTCATCAGTGCATGAAATGAACACACAGCCTGAGAAACCACATGCTGTTATAATGCTCCTCTTACATTTGCACAATGACATCAGGCCTTGTTTGTATCGTGTATGAGTAACAGCTCATCAGTGTCCCGGCAGGCAGATGCACAGGCACCTCTGTGTGTGTTATGTCACTGGACAAAATGCTTGCTGTGTGTTCTTTCACCATCCATCAGTAGTGACTCATACCCCTCTAAGTAAGCTACGTTACTGCATCTGCAGGTCCAAACATTTGCTATTGTGCATTAAGGCCACTAGTCTATGTTACTATGTCTGCAACAGCCATGTAACAGTACGGTTCAGTACACTTGTCACAAAGAAATGTATGTATTTAGCCTGTGAAACAGTTGTTTAGTGTCTCCTGTAACCGTTAACACAAATCAGAGGGTGTGACACACAGCTCATGGAGGCAATTGAGGTAATTTAAAAACACACAGCCACTTGTTAGTCACTGATTCATGCAATTTGCACTAAAATGTGTACTCCTTCTCTCAGCCATAGCTAAATCTGAAGACAGACAGGATATTTTATTGTTTTATTCAGTGTGACTCTTCAATTTTCATTGTGAATAAACATCCATAAATCCAATCATATCAAGTTTTCTTACTCAGTATCAAAGTAATCCATTCAAAGTGTCTGTACATCCTTGGGTACTGTGCAAACTAATTGCAAATAACCTATTTGGTGACAACATGCCATAATGCAAACAAGTAGAGGCTAAAGGGTTGGGATTTCAAGTTAGACAGACCTGTGTGTGAACAATGACTTAGACAACGGAACCTGTCAATGTGTTTGGGCTGCGTGTGTAAAAACAGCTATAAATGGATGGTATCACTCTACTGTACATTCCTGTGCCAGCAGTTAAATTATGAGGAAACATGAGATAAAGACATGGAAAATCTGGCCAAAGGCACACAGCCTACATTGCTAGACTGTGAACTCATTTATGATTTTTCCCCTTGAAAAGTGAAAAAGAAAAATTCACATGACTGAATGAGGAGAAATATACTTGTAAAGCAAGACAATTCACCCTAGCTCTTAACTTTCTCCTATATCCTGTATATGGTATATACCTTACAGTTTACAGTTTTCTCCATTCACCCTGCAACAATACTAATTTAATCATTTAATCATCTATGGAGTAAGGGTCGTAATCATAAAAATGATTGGGATCATAGAGACTGGGCGAGACAGTCTGTAGCTAACCCTGCCTGGAAAAATGATGTACTTTGTGGTGTTAACGGCAGGATTTGACTGTGCCCTTACCCAGCTTGACGTCACCGTTCAGCATGAGGAGGATGTTGCCAGCCTTCAGGTCTCTGTGGATGATGTTGTTGTCGTGGAGGTAGACGAGGGCCTGCAGAGTCTGCTTACACACCACCCTGATCTGAGGCTCTGTCAGGGGTCTCTCCAGTTCTGCACGGGGACAAAGGTCACACAAACACATGCTTAGCATTCCTGACTGTGGTATGCCACATAATCATAGCTACGTTAAGCTACGGTCAGTGTATTGATGAATGAAGAATGTAACATGTGGGTGGTCTAACCACTGCTGTAGAAAGCCTTTTTGGTGTCATGGACCCCCAGAGTGATACACACCAGGACATGGAGTCATATTTGATAAGAGACTCCCAGGGATCCCTGTGTGATTAGATTTAGTTATGCCGTAACTGTCTATACTGTATATTGGCTGATTAACAGTGAAAAGTGTGAAACCTATGAACTGAATAGTCATTCCTATACAGTCTCTCATTGGGATTCTAGTCAATGAAGTAATGGTGAAATTAAAATATTCCCCATTTTTCTGGGGACCCCCTCAAGGGTCCCTGGTTGAGAACCTCAGAGGCCTTTTGATGTCTTAATTTAGTTTAGTGCTGCTTTCTGCACAGTTTCCTATTTGACGTTACAACCTGTATGCAGTGGAAATGCTGACTCACCTAGCATGACCGCATCCACAGCCCCTCCTGCACAGAACTCAATGAGGATCTGCCGACGAGGGGAAGAAGAGGAACCCAGTCAATATATTTTTCAACATTTGCAACACAGCTACTTGTTTATGTAAAACAACATGCACTGCATTAAAAATAAAGTCAGTAACCAGTTTTTATTATTTAGAGGTGAACATTATTCATTTCAAACAGAGGTGAGTGCAGCCTATTCATGAGGCAGTAATGCTCGGGTTGAACCTGGTGACCTTTCGAATCTATTGTGAGAGTCTGGATGGTTCTCAAGTACAGAGAGAAATGCTGGCTTCCATGTATTTAGTCTGCTGAAATGTGCATTGTATATGTACAGAACTCAGAGGGAGTCATCATCTCCGCCATTGCCTGCCCTACCTACTCACTTGGCTTGGGCAGTTTGAGAATGAACCTCCGCCCAGCCTGCGTGAATGAAACACTCTGAGAACTTAAAGGCATTTAGAAGCTTTCAGTATGGCTGTTGGCGTAAGAGGATTGGCCCAGTTGGGGCCACATTGTGGTAAAGGTTTCACACAGCTGCTAGGTGGCTGGTTAGTAGCTAGCTATACTGCCAGACCTTAGGCCTCATTCTGCAAATAGGATTAAAGTTTGTATGGACAGCGCAGCTCAGGCAGGGGTGAGTGTGACTGCAGTATTGTAGGTGAAGCATCTGGAGCTTTGTCTTTATTAGGCTTGGACACAAGGCTAGCCTTATTAGAGCATGAAGCTAACTCACTTCTCTCCACTGAGATTTGGGGAACATTCGGCCAAATGTCACACATTAAGTAAGAGGAAGTAAAGCCGCAATGCAATTTGGTAACCATTGAGAAACTAATTGTGGTAGATACGTTGGGGCCCTAGCTTCAGTTATAGGGTCAACCTGCATTTAAATGACAAGTGACAAAATCTTCTAAGAGCCTATTTCCTAAAGAAGACTAACTTCTATCCAAGGTTCAATGGCATTCCATTATTCAGTTGAGCTTTTCAAGACTGTTCTACTTACAACAACAAAGCCCTTACGAGACATACAATGCCTCAAGTCTCAGAGCAGTCTTGGCTATTCAACACGCACACCAGTCTAGTGTTTCTCTGTAGGCGTGCTGTTGTTTTAGTGGCTCCGCTGTTGTACAATGGCCACCACAGTGGTTTTTCAGAGTGGCAGCAGGCAGAGAGGAACCATGGGCCAGGGCTGTGGCTTCCTCTCCCACTTGTTTATCTGACACACACACACACACACACACAAATAAATGGAGAACTATGCACCCACATATTTTCTAATCCATTCATGTGGCACAGAGAGGGAGGATGTGAGTCCGCGTATGATCTCACCTACAAGTTATGAGGCCTAAAAGGATGAAAATATCAGCCACAACATCACTGCCTGGAGCCTAGAAACTGTTGCTGTGCAACGGAAGTTGTAATGTAACACAGCAAAAGGGAAACAAAGGTCAACAGGTGACACACACAACTTAGTATGCAGTTATTAGGTAAGTCTCCTCCAGACCCTCTGGGGACCACGTGGAATAAAGCCTTTCATCTCCAGGAGGAAATGTCCTGGACACTCTCCTCTTTGCACGAACAGGTGCCACACAGACCAAGATAAAAATCAGCAGACAACCTCCATCAGGCGACGACCATTGTTGAGAGGACAATGGGGAGGAAAAGGGCCGAGCATTCAATGAAACGCACTGTAATCAAATAGCCAGGTTATCATGAGACTTTATAATGACCTGACTGTCTTTCTGCCTGCGTTTTGACTCACACCAGCCACGGCATGGTACTTCCAATGATGTCCCCACCCCTGGATGTACATGCCCGGTTTCTAATTCTAGAAAATGGATTGTGGAGAGATGTCCTTTGCCATGGTGAATGTGTTATTTGCCTAACATGGTTAGATATTCTACAGAGTGTACGATAGGAAAGGAAAACCCCAGGAATACTGGGTTTCAGCAACCTGTAATCTACCTCAATCACTGAGTTCTTCACACACGTGGTTTCATTATTCATGAACACTTCCCTCACGTTTATCCCTATCTACTGAAACAGGTTTGCTACAGGCAAAGGTTAAAGGAATTAAAGCACTGTATCTACACAACTAATCAGTATTCACTGGAGTCCAACAGTAATGCCCTAATGCTGTGAAACATGTACATTTCAGAGTTTGTGTCACAAGGAATAGACAAATTGGCAGTTTTCAAAGATAACAGAATTAGAAAGTGACAACAGAGAAAAACAAAGGCATTTCAAAATGAAAAATGAGCTCATATCAAAAGCGGATGGATTATAAACTGGTATGATGATTAACGACTCTAAAAGCTCCTTCTTTCTGCTGCTCAGGTGAACTTTGGCCTCAAAGTTTGATAAGAATACAACGGTTGGAAAGGAACTGGCATATACTGCAAAAACCTTCCAATAACAGTAGAGTGGTATACTCTGCCTTTAACCTGGCATAGATACATTCAAGTGTTTTCATTAGCACACCTTACAGGAGCACATCCAAAGTGCTGGAGACTGTGAGGGAGCCAGGATGCCAATCACTGGCATATATTTATTCCAGTAATTAGGCATTTCTGGTCACAGATACACAAAACATCTGAGGACATATTTAACACAACAATACCCTTCCAGTTTTACATTTTTATCTTAGGAGAAGCTGACTTTCATACAGGGCACTTTCTGCTTATAAAAAACATCACCAGGCTCCCCCACAGCACAGCAATGGACAGGTATAGTTAGTCATGGAACTTTGTCTACAAATGAACAGATTTAATAAGTTATGATCAAAATGGGTTCCTTATGTACGACACTCACAGCCACACTTTGTGAATGAATTTTTTATTTTTGTCGTTCCTGTTTTCTTTCTGTGTAAGGAAAATATTACCTGGTCTCCTAACCTCTTTTTATTTATTTAAAAACAGATAACTTGGATTGTCTCCCAGCATGTCCATGCACATCGATGTTACCATCTCTTTGTTCAGAATGTAAATCTCCTTTGTTTCTTTCCTTAAAAAGTGAAACTGAATAAATAACCTGGATACACTCTCAGCCCATGATCATAACAACAACTGGAATACAGAGTTTACAGTAAAGACTCAGTGAAACAGTATTTCCCTTTGTGGTTTGATAGTGCTGATTCACTGTGGGAGGAACTGTTACTACCACATTCACTCATGGTTTGGTCAAGCTGCATTTATTGGATACAACCATATTTTGAAGATTGGTAGAATCTGTGATTGAGAAGGAAGCTTTGCTAAATCAAACTGCTGTATGATTATTAGGTCCATACTTCTGCTTGTATAACATGGTCAAACAATGATGACATTGTCACTCCAGAGAGCTCTTCCCTCTACTCACCCAGAGTTTGCTCTCATAATAGAAAGCGTCAAGCAGCTTCACAATGTTTTGGTGGTCGCAGGAGGCCAGGATGTCAATCTCCACCATGTAGTCCTCCAACTCCTCCTCAGTCTTTGTGTCAATAACTTTGGCTGCAGCGAGGATGCCCGTCTGTTTGTTTTGAGCCTATAGGAGGAGAATGTTATTAAACGGTTGTAGGGTCAAAGGACTCGTGCAGTTATTCAGCTCACGGTCTTGCTCGTCTTGTGTTCTGATCAAGTTCAGAAAATGTGTGTTTGTTCTGATTCTACTGCTCTAGATGAAAACACGCAATCTCGAAGAAGGCCAAACTCGGTTTATGTTGGACCTTTAAGAGGATCGGCTAAAAGAAGCAAACACTCTCTGCTTCGCTGTGCGTCTGAGTAAGTCAGCAGAACATGAGACACGTCTCGCTGAAGGGGACATTTCTCCTGTTTGTTTTGGCTCCTCTGCGGGCAGGATGTTCTCAATGAAGTTGCCACTGCGATATGGGATGCAGCCACTTCCTGGTGACCTGCCCGTGTTCTGCGGTCAGCCATACACGCCATTTAAAAAAATATAAAGCCCCATAATGTACTCCCCAGTACTAAAACAGACAGCTTGTATTTCACTATGAATCAATAGAGTGTGGACTATCCCAGTGGTGAATCAGTGCAGTGGGGCATTGCAACTGGTATGGCCCAAAGCCCAGACATATAAACATAACACATGGCAATTTACTATTTGTAGATCTCCTTCAGCCAGTGCCAGTAGGACACACGGTAACTGCTTCCATGGGAGAATGATGAGAAAGGATGTATTTTGGTGCTTTTTCCTTTCTTGAACACTGGGTCTAGGTCATGTGAGCTTTAGTGTTGGAATGCTGCTAAATTGGCAACCTGTGACTAAACCATTGGGCTTACTTGAAGTATGATACAAAGTAACACCGACATGAAATCTTGGTTAAGCCCACAACTATTTAAAAGATGTCCAAAAATAGAACTTGGCGACCAAGACCAAACAGAATGTAAAGTGTGTTTGTTTGCCACAGACTTCCTGGTATTAATTCTGGTAGAGCCCTCCTGCCTGATAACATTTACTGTCACTCATGCAAATGAAGCTTCTGGCTCCGGCTATGCATTAGGGTCAACCCAAACAATGGTGCTATTAAAATGATGACAAGGGGGCTGCTTTGACACCGGGTCGGCTATCTGAAAATGTAAAGGGAAAATGATCTGGCTGGTGTGTCTGAGCTTCGCAGAACAGATATAAACACAGATATAAACACAGATATGAACACAGATATGAACACAGATATGAACACAGATATAAACACAGACCAGCATTATTAACACACGTTCTGTTCCTGCTTGGAAAATGTCTAATGTCTGAAAATCTACTTTTCTGTCCACTGACCAAACAGCTACTAAATGTTCAAATCTCACCAGTCACTCATAGATTGCCTTTGTTCTTTCTGGCTGGTGACTGAAGCAAATCTACAAGGCTCTTGCATATTTTCTCCAGCATTCGGCTGGTAGCTGGTGCTAATTTTGTGCTCTGGCTCTAGCCATTGTTTACGTCTGTGTGTGCATACTACCAAGATGTTCACAGATTCTCAGCTTTGCTTGACAATGAACGAGACCAGGTGGTGAAGATGTGCGCGTCTGTTGCCATTGGTCGGATGTCTGTCACATGTAAACAAACTTTGAACATGGGAAACCGTGGAGAGGGAGCTCAGCAGTCATACCTGACACCACCTCTGTCACGGGGCTAGGGTATTGGTCTGAAGATGGTGGGTGGGTCAAAGCAATGCAAGACTGAGGTGACACTGCTGGCACATTATGTCACCCTTCAGAAAGAGCATTGCTGGGTGCGGAGATGTTACAAAAGACTGACGAAAACAGCCACAATGGAGCAATTAGAGGGAAAAAGGCTATTCTCCACATAGAGCCCCGCGATGGAGACATTACCTACCTTGAACACTTTCCCAAAGGCTCCATCTCCCAATTCACCGATTATGTCCCATATTTCCTCTGGATTTTCATCTCTGCGGACGTGTTCGTACTGCTTCTTCTTCTTCTCAGCTCCCAGTTTAAATATTTTACGGAAATTAAAAAAAGACATAGTGAATCCTGTGTCTTTCAATGAAAAAGTTGACAAAGGAATTCAATTTTAAGACGCCAAAGTATTGTCGGATTCCGTGAACAGTTTACTTTAGCACAAGTCTTTGGAGTAACATAAGTGCCCCATTAACGTTAGTTACAAATGTCCGCTTGTAGCTTTCATAATAGTTGGGACCAAAACCTAGCTTAGCCTTTGACACTGTTTTGACCAGTCCAGATAACAGCTCTTTGGCACATCATGGGTCATTGCTAACCCCCAAAATAATTACCAAAGGTTAAACTAGACTTGTCCTAGCATCTGAAACCCGCATAAACAACACTTCATTTCAATGCAAAGTACTACGAGACGCTCTTCGTTGTTCCAACTCCTGACGACCTACTGGCCCGAAAACCCTGTGGGGTTCTTTCTCAACCCAAAGAAAAAAAGATGAGGCGTCCTTCTAAGTAGTTGTATTCCACAGAATAATTAGTTTCCTTGAGGGTTAAAACTGGCACAGTTGGTCCGTACATAAGTATTCGCTAAAACGGCAAAACAGTCATCTTTCCTTTGCTGAGGAGGGTTAGGGTTAGTAATCTAGCGGATTTAGTGTCAGTGCGCGTTCACGAGTGCGCGCGGCTGAGGTTCTTTCTCTTCTTGTGCCCCTCGTGCTTGACGGTTGGCGGGGTAATGTCAGTCTTCTGCTGCCCTCGTCTGTACAGTGAGACCTAACACAACTGCTGCGGGGGTGTTTGAAGTGTTCGCGGCGATACCGCAGCTTGCTTTCGTCAAGAAAAACCAACAGTCTGGTGTATACTACTTGTTCTTTGTGGTGTTACTTTGTCCATCGTCTCAATAAACACCACAGTGAGGTTTCTTTGTGTCCCCGCTGAAACTACATATCCCATGCACCATTGCGACACATGAACGCGCCAAACAGACCGTAAACTGCTGCTACAACGCTTTAAAACATTGAAATGTTTTAATGCTATTCTGCAACAGGAACATCTCTGGCGTGTTTTACATATAACGTTATAACGTTACTTTACCAAGCCACCGTAACAAAAACATAACGTTACGTATTGATTTAACGTGTTAACACGTCACGTGACCAATACTTCTCATGACACTCCACTGCTGCTAAGTTAGCTTACTCTGCTGATACTATAGTCCGACGGAAAACTCAGGAAAACACCAATCTGCTTTGGCATTAATGATGAAATGCAGTCAGCTACGATGGATCCAGCGGAAGAGCCGCCGTCGATGTTGTGGGGACTGGACCCGATCTTTTCTGCCTTCGCCAGGCTGTATGTCAGAGACATCCTGCAGATGACAGAGTCCACACAGGTGCCAGGTAAATGGGCAAGCCACCTGTAGACACTGACTGGGAATCAGTGGTGGCATTACAGGTCTGAGTATGAAATGAACATGAATACTAATATGACTAAACTTACTTACTTATAAACTAACGTCAGCACATTTCATGCTAGCAAGTTAGCTAGCTCGTTATTATGTAAGGTCACAGCTAACTTTATCAGACGTTTTTGTGTTTTGTTATTTGGTGTTTCTACCACTTATATATCCTGTATTTGATCATTTCATCTACCATTTTGAGCCAACTGTGCCACCTTTTATAGCTTGAGTGATTATGTTTAACTTTCCCAGTGAAGATATTCATACTGTAACGTTATCTAAGTTAATTAATATTGACTTTTTGCTCTCTCTCCTTATTTCTCACAGGTATTTACTTCTACAACTTACATCCAATCTACAAAGTTGATGTACTCGGCACGGTGGTTTACAGGAGAGAAAGAGACGACTTCTTCTGTTATGGAGGTAGTCCTGCTGTACTGTCCCTGTGTCCCTGTAGTGTTTTAGCAGTGTTCTAACTGTGATTGCTGTCTTCGGGAGTCATTTTGGGACCCCAGTGGCAGTGATTGTATAACATGTTATGGATAAAGCATTGAGAGTCTCCATCTGTGACAATGCCCTAGTTTGTGTTTATGTTTCAAAACCTGACACACACACACACTCCTGTTGTTTAAAGGCCTAAAAATAACATGGCTTTGACTTCCCAGTCTCCTCACAAGCAAAAACAGCCTTTGTGTCTTTCCTCCTCTCCACAGTGGATGATGGTACTGGCGTTATAAACTGCCTGTGCTGGAAAAATGACCTCTTCAAAGAGGAGGGGCGTCCTACTAAATGTGAGTTTGTATTTGTTTGTATCAGTCTTCTGTATTCTGTATTTGCATTATGTAAATCATGTGATGCCACAAGTCATGTGACACCATAAAGTTGTTATGGCAGATGTGTCCATATTTACACATGCCGCAGTCATACAAAGTCTAAAACTCACTCTCCTCTTAGCTCTGTTCTGGTCTCGACCACCTCCTGAGAGAAAATGTCTGGGTATCTTGCTTGCTTTGTTCACAAGATAAGTTAACTTTGTCTATCTGCTGTTTTGTACTGGGCAGGAAGCATACTGTGAGTTCATGAGTTTTTCCACTGAAAAAGGGATGAGAGCTGGGTTTGTTGACCATAAAACCAAAACAATAAGCTAAAAGAGGCTTACAAGCACTGTACAGCTGAGGAGAACTGCAAAATGGTTGCAGTTTGCTGTTGGTTCAACACAACAAGCGTCCCATTCCACATTTCACATCATTTCAGTCATTTAATCCACTGCCTATTTAAGAAATATTGAATCGTGCAAGTCCAACATCTTTATATGGATTATTTTTTTCAAAGGTGTATTTATTTATTACCACAAACCACTGTGTAATATCCTGTATTTGTCATCTGCAGCAGGGGAGAAACACAGTGACGGGGCTCATGGAAGCTTCAACCTGGTTGCTGAGCTGGAGAAGCTGAGACAGGCCCAGCAGAGGCGCTGCCGCCTGGAGATTGGGGAGCTGCTCCGAGTCAGAGGACCGGTGAAGACGTCGAGGCAACAGAGAGAAATCATGGCCTCCACCTACTGTGAGTGCAGAGGGCTGTCTTCCGCAGGCGGCAGTGGCAGTTTGATACACTCCATCCACCTTTACCAACCAGCCACATTTAAAAAAAATTATATAAGACAAACGTGCTAACCTTTAACGGATGTTTTCTTCTACAAATGCTCAAACAAGCACATCTATTAGCTCACACACACACTTGTTATGCTATGCATGTGCACTTGAAGTGCAGAGCAAGGACATTCTTTATCCTAGCATTGCAGCCCCGCTTTATGATTGCCTACACGTGACTCTCTTTCTCACCCACATACACAACAACACAGCACATTTTTTTATTGGAGCGTACAAGCTGTCTACATCCTCTGCTTATTCATCATATGTGTCATTGTGTGTGTCTGGGTCTCTGTGTGTTCCCAGATAAAGTGAACGACCCAGTGATGGCGGTCCAGATAGCGTGGATGATGGAGGTTCCTCAGCTCTACAGACAGTGCTATGACAAACCATTCCAGCTGCAGCCTGATGCAACGGGGTACAAACATTCACGCCCTAATGTACACAGTAGATTACAACACTGTTAATAGAATTTCCAGAAAATTGGAAAAAGAAAATGCAAATAAATTCATTTTACATTATATTAGTGGTTGGTTCATCGAAACAATGGTGGGGCTAATTCTCCAAATTAGATCCAAAATGTGGCTTGATGTCATGACACGTGTCAGCTCAGACTGACGTACCCTGGTTTCTGACCTCTGAATCGCCACTGGTTGGTGGTAGTTTGGTGGCAAAATTCATGAAAAACAGCAACAGAAAAATGCTCAAAATATGATATCGACCCAGTGGTAACATTTTGTATGTCTACTTACAAAAATAACAGCTCTTAAATTGAATTTCTTCTTCAGTCTGGGGCTAACTAACAACTAACAAAACATGGCTAAGATGAACACAGTTTTGAGGTTGAATGAATGAATGAAGTGAAAAGTTTTTGTGGGTTTACATATTGGTGTCGCCCTTTAAAGTTTCACTGTGTTTACTGCAAGATGTGCTAAAACATGCACGGTGGGTAGGCCTCTAGTTTTTTAATAGACCTAAACAGAGAACAACTAAACGAGTAATCCATGAAATAAGAAAGTAATAGAGACAAGATGTCACAGTTGAGCCTGACTCAGTGAATCAATAATTCCTAAAGATATATGTAAGCAGTGGTGTAAATTAAATTAAGGCCAGGTTCTTCATCTGTTTTTCAGTGACTCAGCCATCAGTTCTCTCAGCAAGGCAACGAAACTCATCAAGGATTTCTTTAAAGAGAAGTCGGTAACCAGGTTCAGACCCTATGATGTCCAGGACCTCCTGCAGCCTCTGATCTCCAGCCAACCTCAAACAACCCCAGCAGACCAGGTACACCAGAATAATAATATGGGTGCCAGTTCTTTTTGAAGATGTGTGGTGGTGGGATGAAACGAAAATCCAACGTCAGACTTCATTTGAAGTGTCCTTCTTATGTGAGAATGAGGAGTGGAATAAAGAAACAGAGTTAGGTTCTGATTTCTGGCATTGAAGCTGATTTGTATTCTTCAGAGTTGTTAAAGTTATTGGTCATTTCAGTGGAAATGATTGGACTATTAAAGCTGCTGACAAGGCAACTTGCACTGCTTGGGCAGCTGTGGCTCAGGAGGTAGAGTGGGGTCAAGCAAAATGCACAATCATTTTATGTATAAAAAAATTTAAAACTTAATCCATTATCATTACTATTGATAAAATATCATGCTGAAGCTAGCTGGTTATAGCTGGTTCCCAGGGCGTTATAAAGGATAGGCTGCCATTATTCAGTGAAATGAGTTAGCTAGCTAAAGTTAGCTTAGTAATGTTAAGTAACCACTGCGTAGGGTTATCAAAACATTAACATTAGCTAAGCTAACTTAGCTGAGGTCTCGTAACCAGCTCTCTGGCTCTGCAGGGTGATGTTTCTCAGCTTTCTCCAAAACCGCTCATACAACTATACTTCAAGTGGGAGGTCGATTGGTTGAGTGGTCTTTGAGAATATCAGCGTACATACAAACCGAAACTCCTTCCATTTTAGTAAGATGGTCAGGCCAGCACCTTGCGTGGTAGATGGCTAACATTGGTGTGTTGGAATCAGTGGTTCTCAAGCCTTTTTCCATTAATGTAATCCCTTGGAAATATTTTTCAGCCAAGTACTCGCTGATCAGTGCAGGTACAATGCCGTGCTGCATATCAGCGTCGGATTTATTAAGAGAAACACCTGAATGCTTCATTTCAAATGTTTAGAATCCAAATTCATGGCAATTTTTTTGTGCTAAGTCAGCATGTTCATGCGCTGCATTGAACTGCGTTGTATTTTTGATACGCTGCACTCACAATGTAGTGAGAAACAGGAGCATGTGCTTCACTGAGGATCTTTGTCATTGTCTGTGGCATGGAGGCAGTCATGAAACTCTTTCCTAGAGGTCTTACTGCAGTTGACTGTTAACAGTTAACCATTGCATTGAAAATAGTAATAATGAACATAAAATGTGGTTTATCTGACTTCAAAAATTCACATACCCTTGCAGTTCTCCAAAATACCCCTAGGGGTACGCGTGCCCCCATTGGAGAAACACTGAGATAACTAGACAATATGTCATCACACTGAGATATTTCCACTTAGCAGTAACATTTCTTAACAGAAAAGTATTTAGAAGTCTAAAACTGAAACAAAAGACAACAAAAACAGTCATTTGAGCACCATTGTGTTATTATGCCTCTCTGTTGCTGTTATGAAGCCTGTGGCGGGTCCGTCTGCCTGCCAGCAGCTACGCCAGCTCCTGAAGGAGGTCCTGCAAATACTGCAAGACGAGGGAACGGTGTACCGCAGGGTCAAATCCCAAGATGAAGTCTATCATGTAAGAAACAGAGAACAGAACAGAGAAATGTTAAATGAACCCCTAATACTTCATGTGGATGTGTCTGATGCTGTTGTCCCTCTGCAGGTGACTGCACATGACAAAGATCTACTCATAGCCGTCAAAGACATCATCCACGAGGACTCAAAGAGAGACAAGTGTAAGTAGACTTAATTTTCCCTCTTAAGTATCAAGCTCGTTTCAGTTTGACTCCGTGGCAGACTCCCTTGTGGCAGTGTGTTGAGTATAGCAGCAATTATCACTCAGTTGAAGTAGTCAGGATTGAAAGATTTTTTATCTGTTTGTCAAAGATGAAATTAGCACAGCACTCACACACCTACTGTAAGTTATTCACTAATCACTTCTACAATTACATTTTCAATAAAAAGAGTAAATGCCATTTTGTGATAATGCTTGTAAAATGGAAATCTGGTTGTTCCATAGGGTGTTTGTAGAAGATGAATCCAATAGAAAATGCAAAATAACTTGAGAGAATATTGAAAACACAAAACTATGATTTTAAAGTCTCCATATAACCTTGTTTTGACGTGTGTGTCGTCCTCCTGTGCCTGTAGATGCAGAGAAGGGTTGTCACATCCTGCACATCCTGTCTGCAGTCAGGCAGCGCCACAGCCTCAACGTGAGCAAAGCGGCACTGGAGCTGGTCCTCAAATCACTGGAGTGCAACAGTGACATCGTCAGCACCAGCGACAACCATTACACTGTGTTTTAGCCTGAGCACAGCGGGGTGGGGAGCCCACTGTTACTGCATATACTGTGTGCACTATGGCTTATTGCTCCAAAATGTGAGCGTCCCGAGATACAAGTAAATCATGCCATCTGTATTCCTTTGTTCATCATGACTGTTGTCAAGTGTGGCACTTTAGTTAGTTGAACTAATATTTGTTGTATTTTAAATTACTATTGCATGTTAGCATGCTTTATTTGAAAGGCATGTCAAAGAAAATGGACACCAGAGAGTTTCCAGTACCACTGTGCACTGTAAATATTTATGATAGCACACATTTTGAAATAAATAACAAAGATAAAGCTCATGCATTGCTGGATTAACCTACTAGGTGGACCTGGGGCAAAATAAGCTCCTGGGTCCCCATCATTTATAACTGTGTATAACTTTAATTAAAAAAATCTTTATGATTAGTTTTTTTCTTAAAGGTCCGGTGTGTAACATTCAGCAGGCTCTATTGGCAGAAATGGAATATAATATTCATAGTTGTGTTTTTATTAGTGAATAATTACCTGAAAAGAAGAACTGTGTTTTGGTTACCTTAGAGTTAGTCATTGCTATTTACAGAGGGACCGGGTCCTCGTCTACAGAGGCTGCCATCTAGAACCACAATGTTTCTACAAAGTGGCCCAGAACAGACAAACCAACCCCTAGCTCTAGATAGGGCCTTTTGCGAGTTTTGCGGCTACTATGGTTTTTCCTACATGCTTGGAACAGGAGAGTGAGGCAAGGGTGTTGCAATCTTTACCTACGCCGCTAGATGCCACTAAATCTTACACACTGGACCTTTGAGACAATTCAACAGGAAAGCAGCATTATACATGACATGTCCATGTCCCCTCCTCCACCCTAAACAATGTCCATTTGATCCTTGTCAAACTGATGCCCCCACCTGGCTGGAAGGAAAACTACACCAAATAAACTTTGAGTTAATAATAATAATAATAGTAATGATTATGATTACTATGTCAGTAACCATCAGTATACAACATGCACCAATATGTCATATGCTCATGTGATTATAATGACACAAATATGATACGTTACTCATACCAGGTATGCTACATCAGAGGCTGAGACCCTTAAGCTTCAACATGTTGAATCCTACATTTCCCACAATGCAACTCAGTTGCATTTGTCATTAGACTTCCCCAGACTGGTAAATGCCCAGGCCTTTGAAACTCCACGCTGGGGTTTGTGACGCACTGTGTACTCTCCAAGCCAAGCCAAACATTTTACAGCTGTTTTTACAGACTGAGTCACTCACAAATCGGTGGAGTGCCCCTTTAAGTACAAATGTATGATTAACCCGAAAGCCCTTTTCATTATATGTCATATTAATTAAATGGCCACAAATGAATTGCCTCACAGTGAACCCAGGGCCCTTTGCCTAGTTGGCAATCCATCCTCGCATATATTCCCATATATACATATTCAATTACATCACCACAAAGCAGTTGATACACATTAAGCTTGGGGTTTTCAGGCCCCCTGGAGCCCCTGGGCCCCCGAGGCAGTTGCCCAGTTGGAAATCCAGCCTCGGGCTCATGCCTATAATAAAGTCATTAAAATAAAAGTGGTTTAAAAGATGAAACCAATCTGGCCTCAGTAATGATCCTTTGAAGGGATCTTAGCTGTTACATTTTATGAGATAAATCAAGAAGCACAAAAGGAGCTGAAGTCTAGCCTCTGAATGGGCTCCTTCACCAGATTGCTCATGTTGCTGTGTGCACAGGGGGGCACTGTTTGGTCGTTAATTGGCTCTTTCATGTAGAGCAGGCCGCTGCTGATTGGTCGCCTGTGAAACATCTGTATCCATAGTTCCAGTTGCTGGTGTCTCCGGCCAGAAACTAAAGCTGCTCACAGCCCAGATCCTGGAGAGTGTAGCTTCATTATCACTCTAAGAACACTTCAGTGAATAACAAGCAGACTGTGTCCAATCCAGGCCTACATCTGGTGCCACATCTGTGTAACATATCAGTTTAGTGTTAGAGAGCGGGGGGGAAGTTACGGGGAGACAGATTGAGTGAGACGTTAAACCGAGGCTGGTTACAAACGCAGCTTCATCATAATGTCACACCACCGGACGCTTGTTGTGGAGGAAGCCACCGCCAAATCACTATCTTTCTTGAGAGCTTTATTCCAAGCAGGACGTGCGTGAAGCCCATCCCACTCCGTTCCCCAAATCCTGTGCGCCCGCTGTAGCCCGCTGTAACGCAGGAGGCGTTTGGCGCTGGATTTGCCGGCTCCCTCGCATTCAGCCTCTGTAAACCCCCCCCCAGGTGTGCTGCTGCCCCTTTCTGTAGGCATCGCGGCAGACACAAAGGAGCTCGCTTCACTTTCCCCCTGTCTATTTGTGAGGCGACCGAGCTGATCCGCGCCCGGCTCTCCGCTGGAGCTCCGTGGGGCTGCGGGCGACGTGAAACCCGCCCTCCGCTCGGACACTCGGCTGTGTCGTGTTTCGCCTGTAAGCGAGCGGCGCGGGCTCAGCTGGACTATCGATAAGTTTCTGATCAGATCGATGGTCGTTGCGTCAGCGTGCAGGGAGGGGGGGCGGAGAGTCTGAGCTGCCAAATTGGCCCGCGAGCGAGCCGATCTCTTAATGGACCGCTGAATTGTTAAATGCCACAGCTGAAGATGAATGTTGGGATTTCTCTCCCGTGATACAACACAGCCTATCTGGAGCCGCAGCAGCCGCCTGCCCGACGCGTTTATGCAGAGCCTTTGCAGGGTCAAGATGCAGTTCCGGACTGTGCTGGACGTGAAAGTCGTGGACGTGGAGAAGAGGCGCAATCCCTCTAAACACTACGTGAGTTGCCTGCCTCGTCTTCATCCATGTCACCTTATTCCCACCTTGTCCCATTCAGACGTGTGTGTGTGTGTGTGTGTGTGTGTGTGGCCTGTTCACAGACACAGCGTGACACCTAAACGCTGCATTTAGTGGACTAAATGCAGCCAGCTAGCTGCTATGTGAAGACCACAGCTAAGCTAAGCTCAGTGTTCTTATACCTGCTTAGAAATAATGAACTCTTCCAAAACCCCTTACCAGCCAACCCCCCCGCAGTGCTTCAGCAGACATAGTTCATTATCACAGGGGGGCTGTCATAACTGTGCTGTTAAATAAGCAGCCTGGGCACCTGCAGCCCTGTAAGCTGCAGGGTCTCTTCAGCATGTCAAGATTGACATGACTACTGACATACTGTTGGGTTTGCAGTCAGTGATGTTTGGAGTCTGAGCTTTGGTGCATTCATGTGGCTAGTTTGTGTTCAGGGTAAAGTGGTCATATATTTGAGGATTATTAAGTTAATGCAGTGCCAGCTAATGTGTATTTTTCATTGAGTTGTCAGCAAAACTTCCACAGCCAGGTGCACACTAAGTTTCAGCCTCACAGCGTTTCTTTTATTAAAGATCCCCTCCAGACATGCATTAAGACATATAAAGGAATGTGCTTGGAGCAGTAATGTGTGTCTGATTCGAAAAGAAATCCACATTAAAATCCTCCTTCCACCTCATTAAAACTTCCACAATCTCTGAATATGCATATTTAGTTCATTTCTAAACCTGCTGGACACAGCTGTCTCCTCCTTCACTGTATAGTCCATTCTCAGTGGATGTGCACTGGTGGTGCATCACATGTAAAAGTTGCATACTGGGACCAGGACTGACTTCCAGACTATTTTGTGACGTCCAAAGCCTCTGCTGTGGACCCGGCCCCCTTAAAATCTGTTGTTCAATGAGCACAGAGAAACTTCACTCCACTTTCAGCAGATGAAGGTGAACAAATCCTTCTAGTGTCAAACTCTGCACAGACTGCATTCAAACAGCACACTGAGAACGGAACAAGAAGGAACACTGAGTTTGAAGAGGAAGGGAACTTTACGAACTTAAATTAGAGTACATCCTAACATCTCAAAACATGATGCTAATTTTATTATTATTAGTCATCTTTGCTGATAATTTGTCAGACCTTCTCAGTGTCCACACTTCAAAACATGTCTGAAATGGCCAGTTTTCAAAACAGTTTTTATGTCCATAAATGCATAAAAAGCATCATCATTGACTGGTTTTAATGTCTAAAATCAACACGAGCCTGTCTGTGAATTGATTGAATCCTGGAATTATTTTGTCATGTCCATTTAGTTTAGCTTTTAAACAAAACACATGATCTTCAGCACTTTAGGGCTCTTTGTCCATGTTGGCTTAAAAATTTAGATTGAAAGTTCGCCCTTGACCTTGGAAACAGCAAAATAATCTCACCACCTCACCTTTCAGACCTACCTTTTTGTCTGATTTGAATCTTGCATCATCAATCATTTTGTAAGCATGTAGGTTACTTTAATCTCCACCAAACAACCCCCAGTGATTATTATTACCTTCCTGATCCTTGCCTCCTGAGGCCTTCTTCATCAACACCACACATGTCACAGGCAAGAGTCTGCGTTTGGGCTCTGGACTTCATGGCCCCAGTTCAAATCCTATTTTGAGCTCATAAACAACTCATAATAAATGACTTACTCATATGCAATTACAGTCCTGCAGACCCTTGGGCCTAATGATATGTGGACACAATTAGCACACTTATTCTCATTTGAAAGGAGGCTTGTGCTCCTTTATCACAAATACTGTACCAGATATGAAAATTATGTGAATTTTAGAAATGTAACAGATTTTCTCATCCAGAACAAAACTGCATTTGTGAACATGACTGCATAGATCATTCTAAACACTGTACTGTTTTGTACTGCAAGTGTATATATTTTGAACATGGGGTGTCTCCCAGTGAGGCTGATACTTAAATTCTGACACTGTTGGAGCATCACGGCGCCGACTGACAACCCCAAACCCCCTTCCTCCCATTCACTGGGTATTGTATATGTTCTCTGTTGCCTTCAAGTACCCATCAAGTACAGTGCACACAGCGGACTCCACATGGCAACTTAATTATAGTTTGCCTGGAGCTCTTGAAACCAACCAGTACTCCCATACTGGAGTACTACCTGCCCTCAGGTTTGCTGTGTCCCAATTAGTTTGTGTTTACTTGATTAAACACAAATTCATTCACTGCTGTGTATCAATGATATCAGCTGAAATAATAATGGTCTTTATGCTGACATGGCTTTAAGGTAAGGTAATGATGCAAAATGTGCCTCAGGGTACTTTAGTTAATGTGCTTTAGTGGTGCATATTCCCAAATATATTCAAATTACAACAAATTAAACTAGTTTAGTAATAGGGCCTCTGATTGGCTCTGGCCCTATGGCACACGTCCACTTTGCCTGGTTGGGGATTCAACCTTGTAGGTGACATATCGGTATCATATCGGCATATATGTTGTGAGATATGCGCAGATATTTTTCAATATATCGGCCTCCATATCAGTAATCTTTGAATTTTACTCCTCTAAAATCGGCAGAGTTATCAGTCCAAAGTATCTCATAGCAGGCAGGCTCTAATGCTTCTGGATTTCAGGGACGGCCATCTGACCTTTTTAACGGAAGTCACAGTGGTGAGTTGTATGAAAGAATTCACCCAAATGATAAAACATTTTATTCCCTTGCAGATAATTGTCTAGGTTTTGAGATATTTTCCTCCAGCCCAGTAGGCCTACAATAGAGGTGTTACATTTAAATAGCTTAACAGCAACAACAGTCTTTAATGCCTTGTAGCTCTTGTTCCTATGGACATCTTGTGAGTCACTCTGGACAGAAGCTTATAGAAGAATAATATAATAGGCAACGTCTCTGTCTTAGAAACAATCTTGTTTACTCTTGATAATCCAGAGTTAGCAGGGACAGCTTTATAGGCTTACCAAAGAAATAGTCCCCATGAAAATGTCGGAAAGTGTGGTCGGTGGATTATCCAGAGTAACCAGACGTTGTAGGGTTGACACATTGCTGTTGAAGGTTGTAAATGCGAGCACCACAAACACAATTTCAGTTTCAATTTCATTTCTAAAACCTCCCATGTGAAAGAGGGACACATATCTTTGCATAATTATTAAATACATAGTTTGGTATTTTGGGAAATATCATTATTTTCTTTCTTGTAGATGAGAAGATTGATACCACCCTCATGCTTACATGTTAAGTTTGGAGGTGATTAGCTTACTTAGCATTAAAAATTAAAGCAAGCAAACAGCTAGCCCCAGAAATAAGCCTATGAGCACCTCTAATGCAACATAAACAAACCATAACTTAATGCGAAACATCAAGTTATGGTTTTACAACTTGCCATTTGAACGGAGCCAGGCTAGCTGCTTCTCCCAGTGTTTAAGCTAGTTAGCATACCGTAGCCCCATACTTAACACACAAACTTAAGAATGGTGTCGATCTTCTCATCTCACTCTCAGCAAAATATCACACTATTCCTTAAAAAAACACACAAACACACATTAAAAACAAATAATTCTGCTTAGCGGGCTAATGTGAGAAAATACACTCACAGGCAGAATTCTCCAGAGCTAGAGACAGTGAATTAATGGTCCGCTCTTCTTTTACCGTAATATGTTTTTAATGCATCTTGGACTCCTGATGTGCAGTTATTGCTTGCACAGAGTAGCTTAGTATTGTAACATGAGCTCTCAAATCAGTCCAGCTCTATAGGTAGGCTTGTTGAGTAGTAGCCAGGCTACTATATGTACAGTTCAAGTGTAACAGGAGCTTCTCAGAGCTGAGCTGAGCTGAGCTGCGCTGGGTTTTGGACTCTTTGGTCTCAGCGGGCCAGTCTGTGGCCTAGTTTCCCTAGCTACCCTGTCTCATGAGACAAGGCTAGTCACTGTGAGAAGTAAAAAGAGGGAACGAGGGAGAGAGAGAGAGAGAGAGAAGGAGAGAAAACGAGAGAAAGACACAGTCTGTGGCACCCTTTGAATCTCATTTGTACTGTTTGTGAAACCAGCTGGAAATGCTTATCTTGTGAGAGGAGGGGGAATGAGACTCGGGGCTTTGTCAGAGGGAAGTGCTCGTCGGACCATGGGGAAAGCTGGACCGCTGAGTCGCAAACATGCATCGCACACGCACACGCAACTTGTGTGTTTGCAGGAGGAGGTGATAAAAGAGAGCGCAAGGTTGGGCACGGCCATGTTTACTTTAAGCTTCTGTTTCCCCTACAAGTCCCAGTCCCATAACATTTCATTTTCTAGAGACTCCTGTGCTGCGCAAAGGCCCAGACTGGAAGACGGTGTTGTTATTTGGCACCATAAAACATCTCTTCAGAGAGCTGTTCCCCACTCAAATATTTATTGGCCTATCAAACACGGAGTGATCTCGGTGAAAAGGGTCCCTGTTTTCAGATGCTCACCCCAAACTGAGAGGCGCATGCTGGGGGGAGAGGTTTATAGGGCTGGCCTTTTTTTTGGGGTTGGCCATTGTTTGGGAGAGTTTGACGACTATCTGGAAGTGCTTTGCGTGTGAGAAAGCGAGAAGGGTGAGTCAGGGGCTTTGCTGACGTCTGTTAGCGAAGTCGTTGTTTGTGATGCTCAGTTTGCCAAGCCCTAACTCTCACACTGATACTGACAAGAGGGTGTATGTGTGTTGCATGCTCTGACACAAGCAGTTGACAAAAGCGGCGGATGTTGTCATCCTCGCACTGTTATTAACGGGACCTCACATGCGTGCTGGGGGTTGTTTTTATGTGTTCAATACCAGATGTTGTTTGTGATTGTGGAACGTTTATTTGTCTCATGTAGAAGTCTTAAAGCAATGACAACAACTCTATTCTGATAGCACGTTTCCCACACTCCCCTGTCCGCTCTCAGGGTAAAAACACATGTCATTGTTCTTGAACATGGCCTCTAGCTCCCTGGCGTGTTTC